CATGGTAGAAATTTCAAAAATAGTGCATAAGAAAAAATGAGCACTAATGATGAATAAATCATGAATAAACAGAAAAAAAATACTCATTGAAGAATCGTAAGATGTGAAAAACTAATGGAATAGCAAAGCAATCAAACAATCAACAGATGAATAACAGATCAACGAGGTTGCCAACTATTAGCAGATCATGAATAACCAGAATCAGATCACACCAAAGTTTGATTAATAAACAGATGATCAACAGATAAACAAAGTTGCCAACTATTAGCAAATCATAAATAACCAGAATCAGATCACACCAAAATATGAACAAAATCCACCTCAAAAACACATTAAAACGATAATGGCACATCAAAAGAGGCAAAAAAGAATCGAACCTCACAACACAGTGCACAAAAAAAAACAATATCACTATGAGCATGCCATTCAAGGTAAAAAGCCCAAAACTGCAGAAAAATTGAAGAAAATAATAAGAAACTAGACAACAAACCTGTGAATAATCCTTCAGTTTAATCAGTAGAATAAACCAACTTGACCCTGTTAAAGTTGGGTTTTGATATTCCATATAATATCTTAACAGAAAAACCGTTTATTAACTATGGGTATTCTCTAATGCAAAATCAAATGTTAATAGCAAAACCCTGTTAAACTTCTAGAGAGAGATCAATGAAACCTCCAACCACAATGTCGAGAGATAGACCAAAATCATCTCAAAATTCTAGAGAGAGACTCAAACCCATCTGAAGATTCAATAATATCTAAAATGAGGCTGACCAAAGCCAGACTCAAAAATTGTAGAGAGAGAAACAAAGAAAACAAGATCAAGAGAGAGAAGGATGAGCGTACCAGGTATCCTCCGTCCAGAGAGAGAGAGTAGGGCTCCTGGATGGCGAGAGCGACAAGGAGAGAGTGAAGTTTGGGAGAGGAGGAGAGAAGTTGCAGAGCTGTATCTATGTGGGCCGAGCGGCAACGGTAGGTTGAGATTGGGGTTGAACCTTGGTGGGTCTGAGATTCTGAGGGAGCATTAGAGAGAGAGAGAGACAGACAGTGTCGCTGGCTAGGGCAGCCGTTAGGGAGACTGTACGCAAGTTTAAATTGGGGATGGGATGAGGGTTCATTTTGGGGAAAATTACAAAACTAAACCCACCACTGCACTTGCTATGCAAGTTACCCATTAATCTTTTACTCTCACTATTTTTCCCCAAAACAATATGTTTTAGCAAATACACCCAATCATCGAAAAAATCAAAAAAAAGGCAAAACTACTTTTACTTTATCTTTTACCCCAGCCTCTCTCCTCCCATACTTTACCGTTTTCTCCTCCCATACTTTACCGTTTTCCCACGCTCTCTCTATTTTTTCTTTCCTTGATAACTAATTTTTAATTGCAAGAGGTCCCACAGTCAACAAGCACACTCATGGCTCGAGCTTCTTCCCTTTTCCTTGCACTCTCTCTTGCCCCGAGTTCTCTCCCTCTCTCTCTCCCTCTCCCTCCTAGAAGGATTTTTTTGCTTGAATCTTACCATTTCTCTCTTCTACTGTCTCCTTGAATCCCGGGCCCGATCTCTCAATGTGAAATAGTTATCAATTTTTTTGGCCCAACCCAAACCCCCATAGCCTGAACTTAATTTTTAGCTTGATTTATTAATGATGGTATTTGGTTTCCCTCCCTAAGCTACAACTCAACTAGAGCTCTATTGCAAATTATTTGTGATTACAAAACGGATTTAGCCATCAAATCCATCTGCTACTTAAAAACATTGTCACCACCACCTAAAAGCAACACGTAACTCTAGTTCTCATTATTAGCTAACATGAAAAAAAAAAGTTGAGGGACAAAGAGAGAAAAGGGTCCAACAGTAGATTAAGTGCTCTGGCACTATATAAGTGCGCTCCGGCAATGGAACACTATGGAATCACAATGCTCTGGCACTGTGTAAGTGCGCTCCGACAATGAAACATTCTGGAATCACAGCACTCTGACAATGTGTAAGTGTGCTTCGGCAGTGGAACACTCTGAAATCACAGCGCTCTGACACTGTGTAAGTGCGGTCCAACATTAGAACAACACTCTGACACAGTGTAAGTGTGCTCTGGTAGTGAAGCACTCTAGAGTCACAGCGCTCCGGCAATGTGTAAGTGCGGTCTGACAGTGGAACACTCTGGAATCACAACGCTCCAACACTGTGTAAGTGCACTCCGGCAGTGAAGCACTCTGGAATCACAACGCTCTGGCACTGTGTAAATGTGTTCTTACAATGAAACGCTTTGGAATCACAACATATGTTATGCTCAAGGGAGTAAATATGCTCGAGGAAGTAAGTGTAGAATATACTCCTGCATGAGCAAAAAATCTTTTAGCTTCAGTTCGATATTGTCGCTTTCAATTATTGATCACCATCTATTGTATATTCTTATTTCAAAATTGTATACTATCAAATCATTTATTTTTCATACAAGGAGATTTGAACCATTGGATGTGAAATCCAATAGATTAAAGTGTGTCACAACGTTTGAGAATTTTTGTTTTGCACTTTGTAACCTAAGATGACACATCCCCAACCACCTGATTTCAAATCTAAAAGGCAATGATGATTGTGATCTGCTTGTATAAGAACTAAATGGTCTCATTATATATATTTCTGTTCATTTCACATTCGACAAGTGGGGAGCCACTCAATATACTAATACAACGAGTTACATTGGACTTTTGTGCAAGAAAAATATTTACATTGGTCGTAGCCACTTTCAAAGGTCATCCCTCTATTGATCACCATTTATCCATTGATTTAGATGGTGATGAACTTGTGACTTGGATTTTGTGGGTGATGAAGTTAAAAGGAAACTAAAAGGATAATCAGCCATGAAATAACCAAAAATATTGATGCTAATCTATAGAAAGGCAAAGTACCATCAAATTAAGTCAGCCATGAAATAACCAAAAATACTGATGCTAATCTATAGAAAGGCAAAGTACCATCAAAGTAAATCAAACCAAGAATAAAATATTATACTAGTAACCATGAAAGCTGAAAGTAAACCGAGTACCACAAACTTAACCCAAACCATGAATGTAAAGCAAGAGAGAATATACATGAAAATATAGAGAAGATGTATCATGGTAACTAAGAAGTTATTGGCTTTTTTATTGGTAAATTGTGGGTATAAGGGAGCAAATCGTATTTTCATATTGTTTTAGGGGCGTATATAAATCACTCAATAAAATATGGATATTGAAATTCATAGAAATATGAATAAAGCCATTGCTAGATATGAATTATGTATTATACTTATATCTATTTTATTTGTTCGATTGTACTTTATAAAAAAAAAAGCGGGAACATCGCACGACTCCCCATCTTTCGATCTCTCTAATGTTGCTCTAAAAGGGCAATATCTCGTGATAGGGACTAAACCACGAGTCCTAAATCTCTCTCTCCAAAATGGAGTTTCTCTTTATAGATATGCAGGTACCCCAAATGCCAAGTTCCTTATCTAAGCTTGCATTTGCAGATAAGAAACACCTGATTTTCTTGAAATCGGGTTTAGGAATATTATAAATTTAAGAAGTTCGTGAAATTATTGTTAAGATTTGACGTTTTACAGGAATGACGAACTTAGGCTTATCAAACAGCTTCAATTGCAGAGAATAAATTGCATAATCCTACGAAATTAAGTTTAGAAAAGGATTTAGTTTCAGATAAAAAGTTGTAGAAAGTCAAAAAGCAGTGAAATTAAAACTACATATGGCAAAGAAGGTTGTGGAATTAGAACTAAGAAATGACACCAAATAAAGAGAAAATTCGCATAAATCTGAAGATAGTAAAAATCTAATCTTTCTTATCGTTTTCTTCCTGAAAATGAAAATGTTCCTTCTCATATAGTACTCCTAATTTTCATTTCCAAAGCTCTGCATCTTCTGATTCATCATTATCAGATGGCTCAACATCGAGTCTTAAGACAACATAATCCAAAGAAACCTGGTTTGGGCGAATAATTCTTTTTCTATGAACCTTCAAAGTAGTGGTACCTCATCACCCCCTAGAAGAAGAAGAAGGCTTCAAAGCCCTAGTCGGAGTGAATATGGAGAAGATGGGTTGAAATCCTTGATATATTTGAGTGCTTTGAGGGAGAATTAAGGCAAGGGAGCCATGAGAATGCTTATTGTGATGAATTGCTCCGGCAAAGTGGGAATATGGGAAACCTTTAGGAGGGTACTTGGAGAAATTATTCTGGAGGACTGGAGGGAAATAATTGATCCATGTCCATCACTCTAGAAAAAAAAACTTTTGTTTTGTCAGATTGAACCATAATAGTTCATTTATTTTTCAAAAAAGTTACAATAGTATGGGTTCTCTTTAATGATCTTGAGAGTTTAGTGTAAAAAGGGGGAGAGAATCTATTACCAAGTTCAAAGCTCAAGGTGAGTTTGATCAGTTGAGAGAGCCAAAAAAATATTTCCAAACCAGAATTCTTTACATGTTTAAATGAGGTATGAAATCAACAATTAATAAAGAAACTGAAAAGTTCATATAGCATTTGAATTTATTCGGTTTCAAGAGTGTCTCAGCATCGCACAAGTTGTGGACTAGTGTATACATAATTTTTAGTCCAAACTTGAGGGTTATTCGTGATGACTGCAATTCATAGTGTTTTAAATTTGGCTTTCAAAACATCATGTCCTAATGGTACTCGTGTCCCTAAACCCCAAACGACAAGGTAGGCGCCTAAACGCACCACTATCATAAAATCTTTCTCATTGTTGGTTTCTATCCGCCCAAAGGAGAGCACGCGTGCACACTCCAACGAGCGTGCAGTGCACGCGGACCCTCCGCGGTTGTTTAACAGTTGTTTGCACCAGAGATTGATAAAGAAAGATTGATAAAGAAAGAAACCTCAATCCATGAATTGATACTAGCCTTGTTGGAAGTAGAATAAGATCACAACAGTTTAAAATCATCCATGCTTCTATTTCTCTCTTTGTTTCCCTTTATAATATATCAATCGGTCTTCTCTTCCACTGCCTCCATGAACTCCCCATCTCTCTCGAGTGCAGCTATGCCGTTTGGATTCATGTTAAAATGCAGCTCAATGCTGCCTCTGCCCTCTCTAGCTGGGAAAGCAAACAACTTGCCATCATACCTGTTATCGTATCCCACGCGCACACCCAGGGGCGAGCTTCCCATCCCCACACCTGGAGATGCGAAGAACCGTGTAGAATCAAAGAAGGTTGGAACCTTTGTATTGGTCTCCAACCATGAGCGTATTTCCTCATTAGTCTCCTTTGCTATGGCATCATGAATGAGCTTAGCCCCCCAGCCAAGGTCTCTACCCAGAAGCTCTCTTGCTGTGGTCCTCAAGCAAACCAATCTGATAGCATTTCCAAAGAAGTAGGTAGACAGGGGTGGGACCAACCTTGAACGGTATGACACTGACAGAGAGCACCATGTCTCTTGTGCTTCCGGAAGCTCACGAGCAGGAACGATGGCACGCCAGACATGGGCATAGAGGGCTAGGAATGAGGAGATTGGTGAATTGGCCTCTAGAATTTGGGAGTTAGCCTTAGCTTTGAGGTGGGATATTGAGTGGGCTGGGAAATAGAAGATTCGATCATGAAAGGGCTGGGGGGAGGGCTTTCGAGGTGGGGAAAACTGTCAATTGGAGGGTTGAGGCACACTGGGTGTTTGGTCGCAGGGTAGTGCCGCTCAATGATAGGCGGTCGAGATAAGGTATGGGCTTTGCCCTTGTTGTTGTTGTTGTTGTTGTGTCTTGAGAGCTCAGACCATGAGTTGAAGAAGTTCCAAAAGGAGGTCCCGTCACCCACCACGTGATTCAAGGAGCACCCAATGAAGAGCCCATCGGCCAGCTCAGTAACCTGCAAGGCGGTAACAAAAATTTAAATGGTGAAATTTCCTCCTGTTTTACGTACATGAGGATATGTTTATGACAGTCTTAAATTAATATGAGTGCTAAAAACTCCAATTTCATGTAACAATCCTAAACTTTCAAAAAAAAAAAAATTAATACATGACAATTCGTTTGAACATGATGGTCCTTAGGGACCATCGTTACTTTTAAAAGCTTTTTTTTAAAAGCTTTGTGTTTCCATGCTCTTGCCACGTCCACTAAAGGACGTGGGCTTTAGGTGTTTAAAGCGTAAACTAACGCTCACACTTGTAACATAATAAAAGCTTTAGGTGTTTAAAGCGTAAACTAACGCTTACACCTGTAACTTAATAAAAGAATAAAATAATATGTTAGTAGAATTTAAATTCAGAGAGGTGAAGACTCCTACCTTAGAAAACTTATGAGATTTTTCTCTCTGGTCGAAACACAGTGAACTCCTCTCTCGAGCCGAATTTTTATCGGAAGCTCCCTCTCAAATATTTATGTGTAAGTGACATCATCTTCCTGAAAAATAATCTATTTTTAATAAATAGTGATATTTCCGTCCAGGATCTTTATTTTATAAGTTTTGTGTGTAAGTGACCTCATTGTCTCGAAAAATAATCCATTTTTTTAAAAAATGAAATGAAATAATTATTTCTGCTTATTATCATGAATTTTAGGCGCGATAAATTTTATGCGCACATGACCTCATTATCTTGAAAAATAATCTTTTTAATAAAATTTGTGATATTTTATTTATGTTAGAAATTTTTAATGCTATAAATTATGAAAAATAAATTTATTTATTTTTCTTGTCTATTGTTAGAAATAAATGTGATATTTCTGCTTTTAGTAAAATTGTGATATTTGTTTCTACTGTTTTGAATATTTAGACATTGTAAAATTCATGTGCAAATGACTACCTTATTATTTAAAAATTGACATTTTTGCAATTGATTATAGTATTGTTGTGAAATGTTTATTTGTTGATATCCGATAAATTGTGATAATTCCGTATTCTTGAATTTCTATAAGAGTTTTTCTATACATATTAAATTGGCAATTATGCTAGAATGCCTTTACAAACTGCTACCTTTCTAAATTTGAGCCCAAAATATTTGATTGGTTATTTTTGAAATGTTATAAAGAGTGACTATTATTAATGGTTTAAGTGAAATTCATATTAATGATTTCAGTGATATGTTAAGTACATGATATTTGCTGCTTTCGAATGTTTAAAGAGATTTAGAAATAATTTAAGTATGCAAGTGGACTCATCCGGTTCGCCGGTGAGGTATAAGTGGACCTACCCGAGACGTCGATAGGGATTAAGTGGACTCTTTCGGTACGCAGGTGAGGTATAAGTGGACCTGCAGGGATTAAGTGGACCTATCTGGGACACCGATAGGGATTAAGTGGACCCATCAGGACGCTGATGGGGTATATAGGTGACCTACTTGGGACGCCAGTAGGGTATTTTGTGAAATCCTTTGAATTATGCACGACCGTTAAAGTGTTATGTGCATTTCAATTATTTGGATTATACTTAATTATGCATTTATTGAAAGTGAAACTGTTGATGCATTTCTATTAATAGATCTCATTTTGGAAAATACTGATATCTTTCAAACATGATTATTTTAGGATTATGATGATCACTTACTGAGTAGCCAAACTCATCAAACTATGGTAAACATTTTTTCAAGATAACTGCGGATTCATTTTGAGTGCTAGTCAAGATCAACCTTGGAAGATATTGTTGTTGTGCTAGCTTTCTTTATTTACTTTGTAAGACCTCGCCACTGTAAATTTGTCCTATCAAGAGTTGTATATATGTTTTGGACTGTCACATCTCAAGAATATCTGTATTGTAAATTATTGGGGTGTGACATTTCATGACTGAGCTTTTAAACACAACACATTCGTAGATCATTTTTAGGGCATTAGTTATGTGTGACACAGCACTATGGCGTTGACAAGCACAAAAAACTTCATACACACCTGGCCAAGTTCAAATTCAGTCGAAAGACGTGCAACCCATACAACGTGAACTGTCAAGAAATCTCAATCAAACATCAAACTCATGTGACATAAAAGAGCCGAGACAGGAAGACGTTTAACCCGTAGGACGATAAAAAGATGGGTATCCAATCTCAATTCATAATCAAACCCGTGTGACGCAAAAGAGCTAGAGAAGGTATAAGACTGTCCATCAATGCTTGACATAAAACTGCTCAAAGAGTTCCATGGTAGCATGAGCTTAAACTGCTTACCAAACATGATTTTCAAAATTCTCACCCATCTTCAAAATTCCACATACATATTCCAGTGAAGTTTTCAAAAACTATAATTTCTTTGGCTAAAAAGTGGTCTGAAACACTATATCTATTTCAAAATCCTACAGGTTTTCAAAGGCGAACAAAAAGTTCAACTAGCCAGGAATTTATCATTTATTCTAAAAAAAATCCATTCGAATGGAAAACCACATCCTAAGAAAAAGACCTAAAGTCGAAGATGACTACATTAGCACCCCAGGTAATATTGAAGTGACTATAGCAAGGAGTGTGGCCGGCTTAAAGATAGCATAGTTTCTAATGACCGTCGATTTGGATCTCGAGTGTCGAAGACGTATCAACCCCACTGACTCAAATATAACAATGCAAGTTCGATGTCTTATAGATCGAAAGCATATTGGTCATTCAAAAGTATGATCCATCAAAAATAGTTTCATCCTCATCGTGTCACAGGTGTTTACTTCTTTGTCATTCATCTAGTGCCCCAGGTAAATGTCAAAAAGGGGCAACTGTACACACACCCCTTAAAATTCTGGCTAAGAGAATTTCTAAAATTCTTGACTTTGAGTCCAAGGAACCACACAAACCCTAATAGATCATAGATGACATAAATCTAGTAGAATTATCCCAAAACTACCCAAAATTTATTCTAATACCCTCACATAGTCACCATAGAAAATAAGAACAAATTTTGAAATTTGAAAAATACCTAAAAATAAGGAAAAAAAACCCTAGAAAATTTCTTGAAAATTAGGAAAAATCTCCAAAATTCCTAAAAAAAAACCAAAAAATAAGATTTTACCTTTGGCGATCCCCAAAACTTTAGAAATTTAAGAAAAACCTCCTCCAAACCCAAGAAAAGCCTTGGTAGACCTTACTTAAAAATCTCGAGCTTTTCCCTAGTCTTAGGAACCGTAGAACTAGGTGAAAGACCATTAGATCTACCAATTCTAGCAAGCGAAAGTCATCCAAAAAGAGTTGATGGCGCAAATCAGAAAAAGAGCCTGATCCAAGCCAGAAACTCTAGGTTTTGGGTCCCTGAAGGTAAGTACTTCTTTTGTGCTTAACTTAGTTTTATTTCTTCATTTAGTTCTCTATTTTACTTTATTTTTTTTGAAAAATTATTTATTAGATTTAGTTAATTTTTAGAAAAAAAAATTTAAAGATCAAAATACAGATTCAGAGTAAATGTAGTGGACTCAAAAAAAGACCGGATCTTTTATAGACTGCGATGTTTTTTAGGCTATAATTTGAGCGACCCCACCTTCTCAACTTTTTCACTTATCTTAACTCAATTTTACAAAGATTTAAGTTGACCTCTTAAAGAGATCGGCACAAACTTAAACCGTCCAACTAATCTCACAAAAGCAATGGAAAAGTACTTCTAGAAAAATTGATTAATTGTAAAGGACATTAAAAAGAAATATAAAAAGAAAGCAAATATAAAAAAAGAGATTATGACGAAAAAAATACTCGCCAACCAAAAACATCCGAATCATATACCAAACTTTATATAACATCCTCGTATATTTTATTAATTTTTTGGATTTAAAAAAACAAATTTGTACAGCAAGCTGTACATACAATTTGGGGCAAATCGGCTTAGCTCACAAAGTGAAGCCGGGTAAGTTAGTTGAGTCCGGATAAGTTAGTTGAGTCCGGATAGCCTTGGCCAAATCCCAAAACTCTCGCTCACCTAATAAATTAAGGGAAAGTATATAAAAAGATCATTTATGGTACAAGGTGTGGCTAAAAGAATCATGATCATTACATGTGAAATTGGGTGGCTGCATTCATTCCATTGAAGCTCAAAATTCAAAAAAAAAATTATTACCGAACTTTATGATACATCCAAACTATAAAGTTTCATATAAGATGGTTGTAAATAATTGTAACCATAGTAACTTTATTTTACGTGATACCACCCCTATCCTATGCGTAGTTATAAGAGAATGAAAGTAGGAGATGAAAGCTTATACCTGAACCGCAAGCAACGGGAGGAAGCGGCCTTCATGAGCCATAGCTCCGTTATGAAGAAAGAAGGACCTCACCACAAGGGGGGGACATATGGAGAGACGAGGATGTCATCTAAAGTAATATGGATCGCCTTGGCATATACAAACTCCACTCCAGCATCGTTGCAATGGATGGTGATGGAGCCATCGGGCTTTGAGGCCAGGCGCCCGGCCAGCGGAAAGAAGTAGGAGAGGCACTCCGACAGCGAGGCCTTGAGCCTGTGTAACACAGAGTCCATAGAAGAAGAGGAGAACTCGGAATTGGGATCGGGATCGGGTTTCGGTAGGACGAGGCCCTCTTGGATGTAGCCACCGGTGAGCAGGTGGTGTTTCGAAGGCGCCACCTCTAGCTGCTGCTCCTGAGATGCCTTGGCCGGAGCAATGGTGCAGGAAGACACCCGACTCACCTCCTCTGAATCACCCATATCAGCACTGCTTCCTCTCTCTCTCTCTCTCGGTTTACTGGCCCTGCGTCTCTCGCTTTCTGCCCCAAACTCTCTCTCTTTTTCTCCCTCCTGGTGTCCATCCACCAAGGATTACCAGATATTAATGGTGCTAAGACATCCCTTCCATTTCAGCATCCTTTTTTTTTTATTTTTTGTACGTATTTCTTTTTGGTTTACTATATGTACTGAGTCGTTCACTGTCAATTGGATGCTGAGTTTGGTTCATGGGGGAACCATTTTCGCATGATCATTATTACCATTTGTCAGTTATTTTTTAAAGGAAAAGTTTATGTAGAGACGAAGCTCCAAACAATCAAATTGGTGCCTACCTCAAATATTTCACTTGTTTTTTATGCTCAATTCTCCTCAAGTTGCTCATCTTGATATCAAGATGCATGGACATGAGAAAAAAATGGATTTCAAGTTTTAGAAATAATGCATCTTGTAATGCATTTTTTGACGGTCAATTTTTTAGATTTTCAAGTATATATTATTGTATATAGGTGGACTATTTACACCTACAGAAAGGCCACAATTACATACAACCAACATTATATCAAGGGTACAGTTGGCATACGGATGCATCCGCAGCTGTAGAGGTAAAGTGCACCTTCAAATTTTATCATGGTATATAATTTTGATGTAAAATGTTCTTAAGATTATCACAAAACCTATTTTTATATCTAATTATAAAATTTTAAATTTCAAAAATGGTTAAAATTAAGTAGACTTATAAACATATGACAATTTTGAAAATAGACGCTGTAGATAATATATTGTAAAATACACTATTTTTGAGACTTAAAATCTTTTTATTTTTTATGGTCATACATCTCGACATCGAGATGATCAATCAAAGGGTTTTTCAACATTAAAACTACCTTTGCAGATGGATTTTTGAGATGCATCCGTAGTTCTACATTATAAAGTTGTATCCTTATAAAAACTTTTTATTTGTATCAAATATACTTTCCCTATATATTATACATATGAAAAGTGAGGAAGTTTGTGAACAAGTTTGAATTAAGAAATAAAATATTAGGCTCAGATAGTCTACGACAGCTTAGACCACGCGCAACATGCGTCCTTTAAAATAGGTTTGGTGGCAAATGCCGTGAAAATAAAGCATGTCTTTTAGTTTATGGTCCTTACGGTACATATGCTATTTTGAATGAAATTTTTTATAATAGTAATTGTTTTCTTGATAACAAGTTTAATTAACGTGCATCTAAAAACTTTACATTCAAAAAAGGGTGCGGTTTGTATAGAGCCTCGGCTCTAAACAATCAAATTAGAGTCTAGCTTCAAATACTGTTGAGAAATATGGTTTCAATACTAAAAATCTTTTTGATAGCCTTAAAATATATTTTCATATTTATTTATAAAGTTTAAAGCTTAAAAAATATTGTAGATTGAGAGATTTATAAAAACTTGAAAATTGACGATAAAAAAATGTGTTACAAAACACACTATTTTCAAAAGTTAAAATCTATTTTTTTCTCATGTCCATGCATCTTGATGTCGAGATGATCAATTTGAGGATATTTGAGCATCAAAACAACCTCTTCCATTGAAAATTTTGAGATAGGCTCGAATTTGATTGTTTAGAGCCTTGGCTCTATATAAACATTTCCCTTAAAAAATGAGGCTATTTTTATAAGAAGAAGCATATACACAATTTACTCCCTTAGGAGCACATAAGATGTTGGATCTACTTCATTAGTCCACCCTCCTCACGGAAACCAAAAACATTTTGTTATTTGAATAACATTTGTCCACTCTCCTCACCGAAACCAAAAACATTCTGTTATTTGAATAACACGTGGTGGAACACCTTTTCCAATTAGCTCTTAAGGCTTTTGCCCTTTATGTATTCATGTTCGCTAGGGTATATGATGGTCTCTATGCTCCTTCCAGTAAAAACCTTCCTTAGCACACCATTTTTTTTTTTTTTGTATGATAATACTTATTTTTATTTCTAAAATAATCCAATATAAAAATAAAAATTAATTAAATATTTTAAAATAATAAATAAATATACGATATAGTCCAATGGGAACACATCTATATGTTACTTCGGCATGTTTCAATAAATTTTTTTATTTCATTTTAACCCATTAAAAAATATTTTTTTGAATTGAAATGGTATAAAAAAATATTTCAATTATTACGAAATATCATGTTAATTTCATAATTAAAAATAATTTTTTAAAATAAATTCGAATCTTGCAACAAAAAATCCATTTCAAATGAATTTTACATTATTTGTTAACTTTCTCTGTCTATCTTAAAAAATGCAAATTTTTTCTAAATTGAAACCATAATTAGAAAAGAAAATTTGTTTCATGAGTTGGTGGACGTATTTCTACATTTGCATCCCTTGAGTTATAAAACATTTAAAGATGGATGTAAATGGGCGGTCCATCTAAAAACAGTTGAAATTAACGGTCCAAATGTTTTTTTATAATATTATTATTTTTTATTTTTATAATTTATTTATTTATCCATATTCATGATCTCCATGTTAGAGATTTTATGTCCTTAACAATTAAGTCAAAAAAATCCATCTCAAAAATAGATTTTTAAGAAGGGACTCATTTCGACATGGTAACCGTATCCATTAGAAAATGCCACTTTATGATCACTACTTTACGAGGTCAATTTATTAAAAAGTCAATTAGTAAGTTTAAAATAGTAAGTAAAAGCTATTATTGACAACATTATAAATTAGTAACTAATTCTTAATAATTAAAAATTAATTTTAAAATGGTGCTTTCTAGAATAGGTGTTTTTTACGAATAGCTTCGAGATGTTTGGATGGAGCCTACTTATTTATATTTGCTCCTTTGAATTCCTGTAGTATACTTCTTCGGCATAAATATATCATAACTTATCTTAACATATACAAAGTTTAGGCTAAATATGGCCTCAGGTTCAAAGGGTGCTACGAATGATGCCCAGTGAGTTTTTAATTTTAATATAATACTTGACCATCTTCTTTATTTCTTGAGAAGGACATTATTAAAACATATTTGATTTTTAAATAAAACAGTTATTTTAAGATTTTTTACATTGCATGTTATTGAGCACTACTATTAATTAATATATAACTTAAATTTGAATTATAACTACTTTTAGTCATGAAGAGAATACATAAAGTCATTAACATTTTCAATTCTCCACTTGGCATTTTAAGTGATCAAAATAGATGTTGGCTATGTATTGCTAACATTTTCTTCGAATAAAAAACAACAATAAAAAGGTCAGTATACTTAATGCACTTTTGCATGTGAAATTATATATCCATCGGTCTATCTATCTATATACTACATTGGTAAGCCATAGTTAAAGTATGGACCCATATCACAAGAGTAAGAGTGGACTCTATGGCTAGATAGAATGTAGGATCTGTTAATTTCAAAGAGGAATATCAAACGAATAAATTTGAGTCACATTCCCTATTTTTAGGGGGGAGAGAGAAAAATTGAATTCCTAATATTGATGCAGCTCTAAAAATTAATGCATGGGTAAGGAAAAGGAGAAGGGAAGTTGAGAAAGAGATATCGTCCCTATTTTGTGCCGAACTTCATACTTTCCTAAAGCCCAAAGTATCGGACTGCTCTTATTTTGTGCTGGACCACATGCTTTCCAGAGGCCCAAAGTGTCGGACCGCTCCTATTTTGTATCAAACCGCATGCTTTCTAAAAGATCAAAGTGCCAGACTACCCGTATTTTGTGTTGGACCGTATGATTTCCAGAAACCCAAAGGGGATGGTATTTTAGTCTTTATTTTACTTTTTTTTTTATTGAGGGAATGGGGCGAGGGCAGGGGGGCAGTAGTTGCTAGGAAAGTTAAAATTGGGTAAAGGTTACTAAAAAAAACTTTGTTGAGGGCGGTTGTCTAAAAAGTCTACTTTTGTGGGGTTTTTGTAATTTGTTCATGAATTTTTGAAGGGTGGAATCACTATAGAGGTGTCATCTACATACGCTCTCTAACCTTATGGAACTAATCATGATTATGAAATATATATTTTCATCGTTTTTTAATGTTTAATAAGGCATAATTATTATAATCAAGATTTGAATATTTTTAGAATTTGGCTCCACAATTGTACCTTCTTATATTACTTATTACTAGTAGAGTGATATAAATCATCTTAAGAGAAATTACAAGTTGAAATATGGTTTCTGTATTAATCTTAATCAAAGTATTGCTTAGAATAGTACATTGACCTGTGTCTGTGGTGGTTATATATTCTGTTGTCCCCTCAACATGTGTGGTGAGTTTATGTGTCAACTCTAAGCGGCTCTAAAGATATCTAAAGAAAGGTAAAAGGGAAAATTTCCAATTTTAAGAACATATCATTTTTATTGAATCAAAACAAATGAAACTTCGAAACTAAAATCTTAAGAGCAATCTATGTCACTTTTATTGAATCAAAACAAATGAAACTTAGAAACTAAAATCTTATAAATTAATGATAAGTTGATATTATAAATATAAAGTTGTAATTAGTTGATTAAGACTCAAAGTTAATACTTAATTAATAAGAACACAAGTTCTATACGAGATATGAATCCTTTTAAGAAAGACTAGAGGATTTTTATATTGATCTTCTGTAAACTACTTTATTATGGTAATCTATTGTGCTACCCACTCGATTTGTATCATGAGTTTAGGTTTGATTCTTGAAAGTTTTGACTTTTTTAAGTCATTTGCATATAATATTAATAATAATAATGATACAAACTTAATAAAAAAAAATATATTTTTATTTAAATATGGTTCTTTTGTATTAATCACAAGTAAATTATTGCTTATGATTAAACAATCACCCCACGCATGGTATGCCAAACTCAGCCCACGTATAGTATACTAAACTCAACTCAGCTTTGATGACTTTCGGGTTTCTTAGAAATTCCGCTGATCCTTCGATGTTCACAGAAAGGGGAACTTTAGGTACAACAATTGTAGTTATTTATGCTGATGATATTATTATTACAAGTAATGATAAAAAATGAATCACGAAGCTTAAAAATTATCTTCACAAGAAAATTGATATCAAAGACATCGATCAACTAAAATATTTTATCGGCATTGAATTGCATATTAGAAAAAAAGTACACTTCATTTTCAAAGGAAATATATCTTAGACTTGTTAAAAGAAACTGGGAAAATGAGAGTTAAACCCATTGACACCCTTGTTGATCTTAATTACAAGCTTAATTCAACAAATGGTAAACCTCTTAAAGACATGGGTCGCTTTCAAAGGCTTATCGGCATATTGATTTATTTGACTGTGTCACGACCAAATATAATATATGCGGTTAGCCTTGTGAGCCAATTTATACATGCTCCTAGCTTATGTCATATGAAGGCTATCAATAGGATTCTCAAATATCTTAAGTCATCACCTGGCATAGATTTTTGGATGAAACATAATGATCACACTAATATTATTGGTTACTTGATGTTGATTGGGCAGGTCGCCCAGTTGACATGAGGTTCACTACTGGCTATTGTATATTAGACAGATGAAGCTTAGTTACTTGAAAAAACAAAAAACAAAATGGAGTTGCTCGATCCAATGCAGAGGCCGAATATAGAGCTATAGTTGCAACTACAAATGAATTGATATGACTAAAATCTCTAATTCGAGATATGCGGTTTCCAACGGTCAATCCAATGGAAATGTTCCGTGATAATCAAGCAACTATGCATATAGCATCCAATCCAGTTTTTTATGAAAGAACCAAGCATATAGAAATTAATTGTCACTTTCATAGAGAAAAAGCTCAGTAAAAAATTATTAGTACTCTTTATGTTTAAAGTGAAGACCGACTTGCAGACATATTTACCTAAGTTATTGCAAAGATAAAGTTCCATCATATACTGTCTAGGTTGTGCTCCATGGAGATCTACCCACCAACTTGCGGGGGAGTGTTGACGGTTATAGCAACAAGATATTAAGTTTTCTATATTGAGTTTCCTATTTTGTGGGATTACAATGGTAATGAAATTTGTTTCCTAAAAGACAATAATTGTAACCCTATAAATCTCTAGTAAACTAAAGTAATCCCTACAAATAAGATATTAGTTTACCCTCCATGGCCATAGACGTCGTTACCGAACCACGCATACGTCTTGTTGATCTTTCTATCTTACATCACTATTTCCTTTATTTGAAATTCTACATCCCCGTCCCATACTTGAATGCCCAAGACAAATGTTTAGACTTTATGAAATTATTAAGTGTTCTGGTGCCCCTAGATGTCTCCGATGTAGCGTGAACTTAGAAGAGGTGAAATCTCTTGAAGTGATCAATGGTATCAGATGTAGAACCTAGGCATTGGGTGAGGCATTTTTTAAACCAATGGTCAGACTCTCACTGAGAGATTGGACCGCTTGCTTTGCCTCAGGCTCACCTGCAAGCTTGTACCCTTGCTATGGCTGGTTTTAAAAATACGGCCCAGTCGAAGTGGCCTCTGACAGTGACTTAATAAATTTTTTTAGAAGAGTTTCAATGTCTTTTGCATTAGAGCGACGGAGAATGTCATGCTATAAATTTCGACTGCACGTAGTACGAGTGCAAGGCGAGGCCTCACACGATTCCTTCGCATTTTAGAGAGAGATGGTAGGTTTTTATTTATTGTTTCCATGCTATGAATTTATAAATTTATGGATGTGCTTTGTATAGAGTCGAGGCTCTAAACAATCAAAATAAAGAGCACCTACAAATAGTGTTGAGAAATGTGGTTTCAATACTGAAAATCTTTTTGATAGTCTTAAAATATATTTTCATCTTTAATTATAAAATTTAAAACTTAAAAAATAGTGTAGATCGAACAAATCTATGAAAACTTGAAAATTGCCAATAAAAAAATACGTTACAAGATGCACTATTTTCAAAACTTGAAATCCAATTTTTTTTTATTTTTTATGTCCATGCATCTTGAGGTCGAGATGATCAATTTAAGGAATTTCGAACATGAAAACAACCTCTTCTAGGGTAATTTTTGAGGTGCGCTCTAATTTGATTGTTTAGAACCTCGCACTTATATAAACTATATCTTTTTTTTATTGTTTCCATGCTATAAATTGATTAGTACAAGTTGAAAGAGTCCCAAGAGAACAGCAAATGAGTTCTTAACATTCAATTGAGAGAGAGAGAGAGAGAGATGGGAGATTTTTTTAATGCTATAAATTTATTAGTATAAATAGAAAGAGTCCTAGGAGAATTGCAAATGAGTTATTAACATTCAAGAGAGAAAGAGATGGCAGGGTGGGCTCCTTACATGGTGATGATCGGGCTGCAACTGGTGATAGCCATAGCAGATATTATGAGCAAAGGAGCTTTGGAGAGAGGCATGAGCTTCCATGTCTTCATTGTCTATAGACTCATTGTCTCCATACTCCTCCTCTCTCCTTTTGCTTACTTTCTGGATAGGTAAACGTCCTTATGTTATAAACTTGCATTTAATTTAATTTAATTTAATTTATTTTGCTTATTAGTGGGAAAACATGCTCCTACCCGTTTGTTCATAAAGAAGTTACCTTTTTTTAATGTGTCCATAAGTGGTGTCGGCAAGATTGAAAACCACAATGTGGTAACTAGGTATGGGGGTGCTACCCCCATGACCCAACCCCTTTTGTTTTTTTTTGGGTAATTCAGTGAGGATAACGAGTCCCAACATGTTTTTTTGAAATCTTTAATGGTTTTTTAATGTATTGGGTGAAAATGGAAGCCTAGACCTTAGCTGAAGTACAAGTGGTGTTATCACCACAACCCCAACTCCATTCTCACGACCCAGTGTAAAAATGCATATATATGTGCTGTTAATTTCCTCAATGCATGTGGATGTAAGTGGACATGTATGTATGTATAGTTTTACATATTTGAATGCATGTGAAAAGTTCATTCTCACCCTTAATATTATTTCCTCTCAATTCGGTTCTTATATGGGATTATATATAATAATACAATTTAAGATACCATTTATTTTTGATACAATGAGGCCATAATTATTTACAACCATTCGATGTAATCTGATAGCTTGAGTGTGTTACAAAATTCAAGAAAATTTCTTTTGAAGTTTGAGCTTGGTAGAATATATGCATCAATCAAATTTTATATCCAATGGTCAAGACTAATTGTGACCACATTGTACGAAAGATAAATGGTCTCAATGCATACATTTCCTCCTTATATTTGTGGGTATGGTTTATAGAGGCATCGATATGAAACAATCGAAGTAAGGGCCATAAATTTTTATGATGGTTTGAAAATCAAACTTTTATCTCTAGCTACAAAATTTATAATAGTGCATTTCAAGCATATCCTAAACACAAAATCTTGAAAATAGATAGTCGAGATAATGTGTTACAAGATACACTATTTTAGAACTTAAAATCTTTTTCTTTTTTTTTTCCATATCCCGACATTTCACTATTCCAGATGATAATTTTAAGGGTTTATTTGAAGCAACTCTTTACTACTAATCTTCCATATCATCTTGAAAGTTATTCATTGTCAAAAGACTAAAAACAACACTTTAGTACTTGTCCTTTGAGTTTGAAGTGCCCTTTACTGTTGCCCTTAAATATTCAAGCAAGTCTCATTGAGGTTTCCAATTACATCTTCCATTGAAAACAACAAAAGCTGGATGAGAACACATATGACGACGAATCTGGGCGAAAACAACGAATGACCTATACATAAATTAATGAGAGGCGGTAGGCTTAGAAAAAGCCAAAAGACATTCTACTCTATCAGGAGTAGAATGTTCATTTACTCCCTCAGGAAAAATCTAGAAATAATTGAAAGATTATAAATTTTAGGGATGCAATATCTTCAACGCAAAGCCCCAATAAAAAAAACTTCCTCATTGTACCCACTATGCACTTTAAAAAACTAATGTCTCGAGATCGAATAGAAGACCATTCAATTTTTAGATGGTGAGATTAAAGAGTTACAGAATTCAAATTTCAAATTTTAGAATTAGAAAATACTCCTAAGAAGGTCTTCTGACAGAGGGAGTAGAAGTAAACTACGCACCTGACGGTGCATAGAATACATGCTAAAAAATCGGTTACTCTTTAGTATGATCGATGATAGAGACATGAAAATGTATTTGTAAAAGATAAACCGTGAAAGTACAAAATGTAAGTTTGAGATGAGGGAATTAATGTTTGAGAAGTTCATTTGTTGCAGGAAGACGCGTCCATCTCTGACAAGGCCAGTCTTTTTCAAATTGTTCTTATTGGCTTTATGTGGGATAACAGGGACGCAGCATGCTTACTTTGCGGGCCTCATGTACTCTTCTCCAACCGTAGTTGGTGCCATGAATAATCTTTGCCCGGCCATCACCTTCATCCTCGCAATATTATTTAGGTATTGCAGATTCTCTTCAATATAACTTAAAAAAACATTTCCTTTTGTTTTATCGGAAAAGTTTATATAGAGCCAAGGCTCTAAACAATCAAATTTGAGCCTATCTCAAAAATTTGATTAGAAGTTGTTGTTTTGATGCTCAAATATGTTTAAATTGATCATCTAGACATCAAGATACATGGACATGAGAAAAAAAAATGGATTTCAAGTTTTGGAAATAGTGTATTTTGTAACGCAGTTTTGGATAGTCAATTTTCAAGATTTTGAAGTTTTCATAGATCAGTCGATCTACACTATTTTTGAAGCTTTAAACTTAATAAATAAATATAATAATATATTTTAAGGCTATCACAAAGATCTCTATTGAAACCACATTTCTCGACACTATTTGAAGGTAGGCTCTAATTTGATTGTTTAGAGCCTAGGCTCCATACCAACTGCACCCTTGTTTTATTGGTATAGAAAAGAATATTGCATTTTTAACCCCTCCCTCAACGAGCCGGGAATAAAAGATCCCACCCAAGATTGTATATACAATTAGCTAAATGCGAGATAGATTAATACAACTATAAATCGAGGGCAAGAAATAATGCAAAAACTAAAATCACAACATAAAGGCACACAATTTATGTGATTCAACCCATAGAGCTCTCCCGACCGAGCAATACCATCAATCAACCTCCTCATCTTTCGTACCTACTGTCACGCCCCAAGAATTTACAATACAGATATTCCTGATATGTGGCAGACAAAACATATATACATTGCTTGATAGGACAAATATGCAGTGGCGAATTCTTACAAGGTAATAAAAGAAAGTTTAGGCACAACTACAAAATCTTCCAGAGTTGATCCTGACGACCACTCAAAATGAAACCGCAGTTATCCTGAAAAATATTTACCATAGTTTGATGAGTTTGGTTACTAAGTAAGTGATCATAATATTCCTAAAAATAATCATCGATGAAAGATAAAAACAAACTTCAAAATGGAGGTCAATAAAAAAAACAATACGAACACAAGGATTTATAAATAACAATTTCACTTTCAAAAATGCAAAATTAAACATAATGCAAATAATTGAAATGCATATAACATTTTAAAGGCAGTGCATAATTCAAAAGATTCCACAAAATTACCCTACTGGCATCCAAAATAGGTCACCTGTATACCCCATTAGCGTCCTAATGGGTCCACTTAATCCCTATTGGCATCCCAGATATGTCCACTTAATCCCTGCAGGTCCACTTATACCTCACCGGCGTACCGGATGAGTCCACTTAATCCCTACCGGCATCTCGGATAGGTCCACTTATACCTCACCGGCGAACCGAATGAGTCCACTTGCATACTTAAATTATTTTTAAATCTTTTTAAACATTCGAAAGCGTTTACTGAAATCATTAATATGAATTTCACTGAAACCATTAATAACAATCACTTTCAATAACATTTCAAAAATAACCAATCAAATATTTTGGGCTCAAATTAGAAAGGTAGCAATTCGTAAGGACATTTTAGCATAATTGCCAATGTATAGAAAAACTCTTATAGAAATTCAAGAGTACGAAATTATCACAATTTATAAGATGTCAATTCACAAATAAACATTTCACAGACAATGCTATAATCAATTGCAAAAATATCAATTTTCAGATAATAAGGCAGTCATTTGCACA